TATTGGTTTTGCCACCAATTTTGCCACCACTTGCGCCACCTCCAATGGTGCTCATGCTGTTTCCACTAAGAATACTGGCTTTCCTCATGTCATTGGCTTTCTCTCCAGCTAATGCTACAGAAGACATCTTGATTTACTCTTCCGTGTAAAAGATGAATCTGCCTATGCGGAGTGGCTCCTGGTGTATATGGAGTCAGATTATTGAGTCTGAGAGGGAAAAACTTGATTCTGATATAAATATTGTGATGCCACTGTTGTATATTGTTCAAAATTAATAAAAAGAAAATGGAATAAGGAGAAAGAATTTGGAATGAGAAAAGAAAAAATTGAATCATGCGACCACATGGGCCTTTACCGGCACTAAATGTCCCGATATGGCTTGAACCATGAGGCTGCATGGGTTTGTACCATGCGGCCGCATGGTACAAAATTTCGGCCTTTTTGTAGCCATTTTTTACCGTTTGTTTTTTTAAATTGGTGCCTTTTCACTTGTTTTTTGGTACTATTTCATGTATTTGAACTTGGCCTATAAATAGGACATTGATTTCAAGGCTTGACACATGAAAAAACAATAGAAGTTCATATACATTCCAATCAAAGAACAAAACTTCATTCCTATTCATATTCAATAATTTTTCACAGTGTTCTTAAGTTTTGGTGAATTACACTTATTGCTTTAGTGTTAATTCATTTCAAGGCTTGTTCAATCCTTCAAACCATTTACTGGAAAACCTTCAAGCATCAATTTCAATCCGTAAGGGGCAAATATTGTTTGAGGATAGCGCTTTCACGTTCAGGCTTCCGGTGATCATTTCATAACAATCAAATTTGGTTCATTGTTCTCAAGTTCGTGATTTGTTGCTACAATCTTGGTTCGTTCGTCTCCAACTTCGGTGCAATCATATTTTCCCCAACAATCTCAAACAATAGTCTTCAATGGAGAACAAAAGCACGATGGCAACAATCAAATTGATGAATGAAGATCTTGTTCGGTTGGATCATTTTGATGGCACGAATTTCACAAGATGGCAAGATAAACTGAAGTTTCTACTTACAACACCGAAGATCTTCTACATACTTGATCCAAATTTGACGCAATTACTCGAACTTACAAATGAAGAAACCGATGCGGTAAGGATTGAAAGACAAAAACGACAAGAAGATGAATTTATATGCCGCGGTCACATTTTGAATGCTCTATCAGACCGGTTATATGATCTCTGCAAAAACACTTCATCGGCAAAGGAAATCTAGAATGCTTTGAAGAACAAATACAAAGCCGAAGAAGAGGGCACAAAGAAATTCCTAATTTCGAGGTATTTTGATTTCAACTTTCTTGAAAATATTCCCCCACTTCCCCAAATCCATGAATTGCAAGTACTTGTGAACAAGTTGAAGATGGTAAAGATTGATATTCCGGAAACTTTCCAAGTGGGGGATATCATTGCTAAACTTCCCGGAACTT